GCTGTCATGTCGATCTTACTCCAATCTTTTGGCTTGGGAGGTAGGCCATATGGATATTTTCCGAAGATACTCTCATGAATCTTGTTGTACTTCAGCATGGCAGCGAAAATGGGAACACTTTGAGCACTGTTGGGCAGGCATCTGCAGCAACTCGAGGTGGTTCTCTCCTCGGTCTCTTCCAGGACCCAATCGAAATACTCCATGCCTTTGGTGTACTTCTGCTTCTCTTCATCGGAAAGTCGGAGGCCAAACACCATGCGGCCCTTCTTTTCGTTGGCGAAAGTGCTCTCGAGGTTGTCCTGTGCCACATTCCAACCCAAAAAATACTTGAGGTACGCTTCGCGTGTCTCCCGAAATAGGGTGAGAAAACAAACAAACGTAACATATAGGTGACTGCTGGGGCATAACATCATGTTTCACATTTGTTTCACATCATTTCCAATATTTTCCAATTGCATGTCACAATGTCCTTGTCATACTCATCCAGGAGATTCCGAATCAGTGTGTAGCCCGGAGACATGTAGCAAGTCCCCAATTCATGTGGCACATCAGGCTGACTTGGGTCATACATCGTCAGGGACTTGCCGCCGACCTCCGCTTCGGCCTCCAAAAGGGTCACGTTTTTGTAGCCCTTCGCAGCCAAACACGCGGACATATGAACTCCGGCAGGTCCACCACCAACAATCACGATGCGTTTCTCCTGTGTCGCTGCAACGGTGATGAAAGATATGAAAGGTGTCTGAGAACATTGAGAATATACACAAATATATATATATATATATATATAAATAAATAAAATATAGGAACATATTTAGGAAAATATAGAATCATGGGTTCAAGAAAAAACACGGCCAAGATCGGTTTCACAATTTTTCACAACGTGGGCCTTACTCAGCTTCACACATGTTGGCAAAAGCTTGTGGTTGGGGTTTGGGTGATCTTCTGAGATCCGGGGAAAGAGCGCATTGAGAATCACCATGAGTGCTGCCGGTTGGTGCACGCCAGGTGATACCGGTGAAATCCCTCTGTTCCTTATGGCTGCAGGATCCGAACATGCTCAAACTCGCGATCAAAAATCGTGTTGCTGGAGGCAGTCAGGGTGGAAGCATTCGAAGCATAGAGAAGGCGAGGAAAGAAAATAAAAGAAATAAAATCGAATTATATATATATTATAACAATTGCAAGTCTCAATTTACAAGCCTAGGAGAACAATGTGTTTCGCTGAATTTTCGGGATTGATGATACACATACAATCACATACATAAGATATTATACGATACTTTAAGATACCAACACATCTGGGTTTGTTGCAAGGATCAGTTTTTTTGGCACACGGATCTTCATCACAATGTGCACCACACCGCCTGAGCCTTTGGCTCAACGGGACAACATCCAAGCGACTTTGCAGATCAAATTGTCAAAGTCGGACTCTGGGAGTGACACATCTTGATTAAAAATCTCAGAAATTTGTGTTTCGTCCAAGGTCTTAAAGTCTTTCTCATCATGTGCGAAGAGTAAACCTGAAATTTCACAAATAGCTGTGTTGACACCTGATTCATCTCGGCATTTGTGCTCTGATTGCCTTGGAAAAATGTAAATCTCCGGTGATGCCACGATAGGCCGCGTTTCTTCAGCCTCAAAGGGGTCACGGTCTGAGGCTCGTCGTGGTTTCCATTCCCCCGATGGGGTCAGCATCACATTGTGCGGAATGTCCTTTTCCTGCAATTCCTGGATCACTTTGCCAGCAAAGATCGACAAACTTTCCAAATCCGTCACCGAAGATCCTGGAGCAGATCCAGCGGTCAAAATTAAAGCTCTGCTGTACCATTCTTTTTCCACTAGGATCTCCGCACACACGTTGCCCTCGGAACAATCACCACCGACGCGTGATCTTGGGACTGCTTCAACTGGAAGACGTTTCAAACCAGCATAATCCAAGAAGAGGCCGTGAAAATGAAAATGGTTCACTGACGCATGGGCGAGCAAGGAATTGAACATCACACGGAAATCTGGTCGAGCTGATTGTCCAATCAACTGTAGCCCACAAAGCACCAATTCTGTTGTCAAACACTGTGGCAAACATTGCGGCAAATCTGGAACAAACAGCGTGTGACCCACCAAAAATGGAGATGCACAGGCGAGTGCTGAAATTGATCTTCCGGCCACGTCCAACGTGCTAATCACTTCTCCTTCTTTGACCTTTGTGAAATTGAAAGCTTCGGGGTCAGATGGTCTCACCACCTTCACTTCGTGTTTTGACCACTTTGCTTTTCGTTTCGCCCGGAAATGTTCAGGAGAGAAATGCAAATACAACCCCAAGTGTCCTTCCAGTTTTCGTCGCGCCATGGTGGACGGGTGGGACTGGAGCAAACCATCTTTAGCCACACGGGCAAAACCAGTCAAAATTTCCTTGTCAAAATCAGTTTCTGTAGGCCTTGCATCGCGCGATGTGCAACAGAATAATTGGAGCATGGCAAAAACATTCGCCAAATCTTGAACTACGTCCGATCCAAAACTGCAGCAAAAGCAACATGTGGCACCGGAACTTGACCATATTCACGCGGAACACACGTTCAATGTATAAACGAAACTGATATGGTTTACACTGTTTTCGCAAAGTGAAACCTGATCTGTTTGATTGACAACCACCAGGAAATCGGCACACACTTTCATACACAAGGTCCTTTCAGAAACTGTTCGCTGCGTTTGCTTGCAGCATGGTAGAATTTCAGAATATGCGTAGCAGCATGTACGTCGGAAATTTTGAACGACAACGCGTTACAGCGCGACTGAACACAAGGTTTTCCCCAAAAACTGCAATTCCAGCCGGGAATATGACAATGAAACCATGGTTTTAGGCGCACCATGGCGCACCGCGCACCCCATTGTGGGACACACGCGCGTTTTTCCCTGGAGAATTGTACAAATCAAATTTGCGCGTCGTACAGAACAATCCGACGAAATGCGTACAGAAATGTTTTTGATCAAGCACGCACGCACATGGCCCGTTTGTTTCGAAAACCAAGCGTGGATGAAAACCCTATACCCAGCCAAACCTCTTCGTACTTGAGCTGCCGGTGCTTACAAATTCTCAAATGGGATAGGCCCATGCGCATTGATTTTGTCAGGCGTGAAAACCCCGTTGTTTATGAATTAGCCGTCGCTCAATCAATTTTTGGAATAAAATGCCGAAACACAAAGAACATAAAATCAGGTTTGATTAGGCGCGAACTCCAGCCATCACCCATGGCATCGCTTCAACCTGGGCAAATTCCATGATACTATATAAATGCGTATCCAGCCCGCAGAGAACACAGTGTTCATTACTAAAGCGAAACGTCAATGATGAAGATACGGCAAAGCAAGCGATGGAGCTAGCGATGGCGCACGAAAGCTATATGTGTTTTTAGCAGCAAGTTCTGAGATTGAGACTGCCGTTTGGTTTTTTCAATTATCAACCCATGACGTTGGTGTGAAACAGAAACGGAAAGCAGAGGCACTGATGAAATATGACCTGAGACGGGGGAACGAAAGCCGGCTCTCATAATGGAAACCTCTGCACACAGCAAATTGCCTGCGTGTAAGACCTTAGTCGTAGCATAGCCCGAACTGCACAGAAAGTTTTGAGGCAGACATCCTGAAACTCTGTTGGTGGCCTACGTACCTTCAATCTCTCGAGCAATCTATTTTTCTCCATCTGTTTGTTTCACTGGCTAGAAACCAGCCTGAAGGGGAACCGATACCCTATTGCAGTTAAATTTCCTGCGCCTAACACCTTTTGGAATTCTTCAGTTGGAGCAAGCCCGTAAGCACCACGACTGAGCGCATTAAACTTCCTGCACGCAACGCCTTCGAAATTCAAGTTATCCTGCTGCAGCAAACCCGCAAGCATCACGACTGCGCGTGCTCAAGCGGTCGCCTTCCTAAAACTCTGTTGGTCAGCTACGTACTAGTCTCTTAAGCCGCAAAAAATTTTGCTGCATGGATTTCTCTCACTGTTTACTTAGCTCACACACGAAAACCCAGACCGACGGAGAATCGATACCCTACCGCATCCAGTTCCAGCGCGTAACACCTTCAAAATTGGAGCTCTTAGAAGGAACACGCCGTTCTTGGCTTAACATAAGCTCAACCTGGCTCGAGTATGGCGGCAACATAGCCTCCACGAGCCTAACATGGATCATATGGCCAAGATAGGCTCCATATACGCCCAACATGGTCCCGACATGATCCAAAAACGGCGTGTTCCTTTTGGGCCGGGTAAAAGCTAAAAAGGAACACGCCGTTCTTGGCTTAACATAAGCTCAACATGGCACGACTATGGCCCCAACATGGCGTCTAAAGCCTAACATGGACCAAAATAAGCCTAACATAGGTCCCACATAGGCCTAGCGCGGCTTAACATGACCGTGATCTAAACATGCAGACTCTAGATTTGGTTCTCGGCATCTGCTTCCATATCCATTGCTACGCCGCACGATGATAGCGTTCTGCAATTCGCAAAGGCATCTGCCACGGCCCACTTATTTTTCCACTATCCCTGGTGATCCCAGTTGTATCAACGTGCATCGTCAGAAACAGATGACGTGACGGTCCCAAAAGATATCGCATGTGACATTGACACCATTCCACAGCAGAGCTGCCAAAGGCCAAAAGGAAAGGTCCTGCTCTGCTACCGTTCTGTTAGATTGCAGTGTCTGCTTATCATTGCATCTGGAATCTTTTTCTTGGCAAAATATGACGTCTTTCAAGAATATGCGTTCTTCAAGGCCGGCTTTGATTCTGCTGCTTCTCCTTAGCATTACATCTGTCATGTTCGTTGTTGTCACCATATGCGGACGCCTTTATCCACTTGTCCATCTCAATCTCACATCTTGCTCTCTAGCTGCCATCCGCTTGTAGCCAAAGACAAATGACGTGACGGACGGTCAGCGAGGGCGCTCGAGAGAGAGAAACAAACAGACAGACCAGACCAGACCAGACCACATGCGGATCTAGCTGGCCAGTTGTTCCCGGGTGGTGGTTGCGTTTGTGCTGGAATGGGTGCGGGCCCTGGTTGTGCAGCGGGCGCCGGTCATGCCGAAGCTGTGTCGGAGTCTGTGGTGGAGTTGTCGGAGGACGTCGATGTGATGGATGTGTCTGGACTGGCGGATGCGCTTGCAGCATTGCTATGCTGTGCCTGTGGTCGTTGTGGTTCTGCGCCGGTGTGTGGTGCTTCGGCAGGTTGGCGCCAATGGTTGGCTAGAGAGGCTGCCGTGGCGGCAAGCCGTTCACCTAGGAAGGTTTGGAGAAAAGTTTCTTGAGCCGTTGCTGGGATGTATCCTGATGGTTGAAGACACAAGTCATATGCCCATGTGTAATGGATCAATGCTCCGGAGGGCAACGAGGAGCCTGCTCTTTCCAGGCGTGTGGTCAACTGTGCCTCTGCTGGCGGGAGGGGTGTGGCGGTTTGAGCTGCGATGTGTTGCAGAGTTGCCAGTGTGTGGTGGAGCTGCTGCCACGGGATCGGGGGAGCCTCCCGCAGTTGTTGCACAAGGTGTTGCCACTCTGTCGCGACAAAAGCGTGTGATGCCCATTGGTGTTCCGCATCCGGGTGGAGCCGCCAGGCACCCGCGTGGAGGAGGGGGACAAAGAACCAGCTGTTTGTTGGCCCTGGTGCTTGTTGGGCCGGTGGCAAGGATGTGAATTGCGGCTGGCCGTGTGCTGGGGGCTGTGCTCGTGTCGGTGTGGAGTGTGCTTCTGCTTCGCTGGTGTGTCCGTGGTGGTGGGAGCTGTTCTGCTGCGCAGTCGTGGAAGGAAACGGCCAGCCGTCCGTGTGTGCATAGCCACCCCCGCTCTGCACAGGGCAGGTCGACGACCAGTGTCCGTCGGCCATGGTGGGGGCACCTTGGATGCGGGGGGGCTTGCTGCAGGAGAGCGTGGTCTAGTTGAAGGTGCTGTAGTCTCGTGCGCCCGTGCTGGATCGGTCAACATGACCCGGTGGCAACAAAGCGGGAGGATGTCCTGCGGAGCTGCTGGTATGTGGTGTCCGGCCGATGCGGTTTGCCGAGCTGGTGGCGGGTCTGGGACGACGATGCCATGGTCGGAGCAAAGGCCTTGGAGGATTGTATCGATATGGGGTGGCCAAGGGTTTCGGCAAGATGGGCAGGCTGGCTGCGGCTGATGGGCGCGCAAGTTTGCTGTGCAACTCCAGTGGGTGATGTGCCTGCATGCTGGCCAATGAAATGGAGGGTCATCCGTGGAAAGGTGTTGGATGGGGCCCAAGCAAATTGTGCACGTTGTTGTTGCTGCGTCTGCTGCCGTTGTGCTCTGCTGGGTGCGCGGGCTCTGCGGTGTGCCAGGCTGGCTGGTCAAATCGATGGTGTCGCCGGGCAGTCGTTCCATGTAGGCACAGATGAGTGGAAGCCACAGATGGAGCAGACAATGGAACCGACTGGAATGGAAGTCGAAAGACGGGCGATGAAGTCCAATGCCCGGATGAGACAGGGAAAGTCCAAAGAAAATCCAATGATGGCCTGGTTTAGCCTGGCTGGCCCCCAGGAACTATTACGCGTTTTTAAGGTGTGTCGCCTCCACCGCCGCCCCAGCGGTTGCAGTTGTTAGCCATCTATCTATCTATCTATCTATCTATCCATCCATCTATCCATCCATCCATCTATCTATCTCTATCTCTCTCTATCTCTCTCTCTCTCTCTTTCATCTGTCTATCTGTCTAGCTGTCTACCTGTCTATCTGTCTATCTACCTATCTATCTGTCTATCTGTCTACCTGTCTATCTGTGGTGCAGTGTCATTCAGTGTAATGTAGCGTCCTGAAATGTAGTGTAGTGTAAAGGAGTGTAATGGAATGTAGTGTAATGTAGTGTAATGTAGTGTAATGTAGTTAATGTAGTGTAATGTAGTAGTGTAGTGTAATTTAGTGTAGTGGAGCGTAGTGGAGCGTAGTTGTAGCTGTAGTTGTGGTGTAGTGGAGTGTACTGTAGTGTAATGTAGTGAAGTGTAGTGGAAGGCCATGTAGTGTAGTGTAGTGTAGTGGAGTGGAGTGGAGTGTAGTGTAGTGTAGTGTAATGTAGTGTAGTGTAGCGTAGTGTAGCGGAGTGTAGTGTACTGTAGTGTAATGTAGTGTAATGTAGTGTAATGTAATTTAGTGTAGTGGAGTGTAGTGGAGTGTAGTGGAGTGTAGTTGTAGTTGTAGTGTTGTGGAGTGTAGTGTAGTGTAGTGTAATGTAGTGAAGTGTAGTGGAAGGTAGTGTCGCGTAGTGTAATGTAGTGTAGTGTAGTGGAGTGTAGTGTAGTGTAATGTAGTGTAGTGGAAGTAGTGTCGTGTAGTGTAATGTAGTGCAGTGGAGTGTGGTGTAGCGTAATGTAGTGTAGTGTAATTTAGTGTATTAGAATGTAGTGAAGGTGTAGTTGCAGTTGTAGTTGTATAGTGTAGTGAAATGTATTGGAGTGTAGTGTGGTGTAGTGGTGGTTGTAGTTGAAAATGCTACAAAACCCTCAC